CAATATTAATTTCATTTTATTGTACATTACATTTTCAAATCTCTATTTTTCTAAACCTTTTTCCTGCAAATAACCAAACGAAACGTTTGTCGATAGTTCCTAAGTCTCCATATGTACAGGATGGGATTTATTGCAAAATTCAAGCAGTACAGCTGAAAAACGAGTAATTCTAAACATGAAACATCACTACTCTTCGAAGTGCTAGTAACTATACTGCGAACGCTTTCGGGAACCAGTGTTAAAATTTGAATAAATGCTACCATAATAACCGTTTTCAAAAACTCCTCTCGCAAAGCTCCATCACGGGACTGGTTTTGCTGAGAAATACCTCGCCCTTGCTTTTTCAAAGAAAAATAGGTTGTTACGTATATTAAACTAGTGACCATGGCAATTATAACAAACATTGTGTTGTAGATTTTATTGTCCACTTGGTTAGGGCCAAGTGTAAGATCTTTTACCAACGGGCAGAAGCTCAAAAGCCATATTGAAGCCATAGAAATACAGATTCTTCTTTCGTTTAAAAGTACGCGATGATTGAATGGATGGACTGTCATTAAATAGCGATCGATCGCAATTGATAACATAGAAAACAGTGATGCCAATTGAGCTGTATTTGATATATAAAAAACTGTTGAGAATTCTTGAGAATCGTTAATGCGTATTAGGCCAACAGTACACGCCATCAAGTCCGCCAGAGCTAAATTTGTGACGAGATAAGTCGCAGAATTCCTGAAGCATTTCAGAGGATCTTTTATCCAGCAAATGAAGAGTAGTAAATGCGACACAACACCAGCACAAAGCGTGAGATATATTGACAGATATTTTAACTTGGTGTACGACATTTCAAAGGAACAAAAATGACTGTTTAAGGTATGAAAGTTTAATATCAAATATAAATGTGCGTTGCACAAAATCATATTAAAATTTGATAATGTAAATAAATTGACAGACGTTAAAAAATTGCAAATATTAAGATTAAAATTTTTCATGCAAACTATGATTAATAGTATACAATATCTGATCAATCACGAATTAAAGACTTATCGCAACTGATCTATACACTAGACTGGATACAGAATCCGTTTGAAATGAAAGAATCGAAAGTTTTGAACAATGTAGGGAGCGCAAATAACAACGCCAAGGAAGTTCATATTGATATTGATATCAATATAATGAAGAGTTTAATAGGGGTGAATAGGTTTTCGGATCGTCGGACTCCGCCGAAAAAATTGTTGGGATGATCTTATTAATACAACGGATTGCGGATTGGATTAATATTTTGGCTCGGATTGTGGATTTTGCTTGCAATTTAGTTCGGATCCTGGATTGTGACTTCATAGTAGAGCTTTTCGCGGATCCAAATTTAGACAAGACCATTAATTGTCGGATCGGCGGATTTTGCTTCAAAATTGGGCGGATGGCCGGATTTGTATACCCCTATTCACCACCCCCCACTTAATATATTACGAGTTTAATAACAAACAAACTATACATGAATTACTTTTAATATGTTACTATTTTTGCGAGTTACCTTGCAAATTTATTTTTGCTTATGCTTTTAATTTTGGAACAAATTTCTTCATTCGCCTCAAAGGAATAAGGCATTTTGATACATATAACATATCAATCAATAAATGTCTATCATGCATAGATCGTAAGGACGCTTCGTCCGGTTTTACTGCCAGATTAATGGATTGGACAAACCAGCCTGGTTGATACTAGTTTTTAGACAAGAAATACCCAGATCCCCAACAGAAAACTAACCCTAACTCATTGAAGATCACCAGCAATTGAAAGGGAGATTTCCGTCAGGCAAGCCCGCTTGGCTTAACCAAGATCTCCTTGCAATGCCAAGGGAATATTGGTTACGCGAAATGGGAAATGCTCAAGAAGTCTGGTTTAACAAAATAAGCTTTTTTCTTCGATTTTGATCGATTTTTGAGTTTTTGGCTGAACACACTCAACACAAATTATCGTAAAATAATTTAAAAATAAGCCTGTAGAATGGATCATTCGCATCATAGACTAATTTTTGGTCTAGACAAAAATTCATCACAGCTTGAAAGAGCGTCACAAAATTAGTAATATTCCAAAGTTTCGTTGCGAAATGTTGTAAAATGCGGATAATATAGCCTTGCGAAATTTGCAATTTTCAGTCATTTTATATTACAAACGGGAAATTGATGCCGCAACACCCGATTGGACTGTCAATTTCCCGTGGGTAATACAAAATGACTGAAAAACGGCAAACTTCGCAAGGCTATATTATCCGCATTTTACAACAATTCGCAACGAAACTTTGGAACAATACTAATTTTGTGATGCTCTTTCAAGCTGTGATGAAATTTTGGTCTAGATCAAAATTTAGTCTATGAATGCAAATGGCCATTGTGATCAGCAAAACTAATCAAGTATAGCATAGAATAGAATAGAATCGAATATTTATTTCACGAGGGAAAACGTATTAACCGTAAAAGTTATCTAACATACGGCCCTCGCACTATTTTGATATTTACAAGCATAAAAAGTATTAAAGATTACGACTATTTACATTTGAGAAAAAAATAATTAGTAATGAATACAATTACAATTTAGTAAATATTTACAATTTATACAAAATAGCAATACAATTTCGACACAAATTCGCAGGAAATCGCCTTTTTCTTTGAAATTTGGGACAAAATCACGTTGATTTACCAAAATAACCGAAACATTTTCGTGGGAAAATGAGTTTACTCAATTGTGTTTACGCATGCATGGTTCAGTATGGAACTCAGACATTCAAATTATAACAATAAGGTGAATTTCTAAAGGTCTCCTTTTTTTTAGACATCTTGTACTGTATAGTCTTGTTCACCAATATAATGTTTAAGCCGTAAGAAAGGGCGGTTATTTCTATGAGACAGAGGATATACTTGGCGGCCGCTTGCAACAAAAAATGGCATCAGAGTACAATGTTCAGAGAGTTGGCCGGTGTTTATGTGAACAGGCTGTTCATGTGAACACTGATTCTTAGAAAGCGGGGTCAAAGGGTTATATTCAATTCAATATAGGCTGCTAGCTACATGCGTAATCTATGACATTTAATACTATAATAGTGCATCAGTAACATGCATGTCAAGTAATATAAGCTAGCAAATTTGTCAGAAAACCGTGAAGAATATATACCCAGCCTTAGCAAGAAATTTCATATTCTTATGGAGAAAAGAATGAATTTTCGCTATTGCATTTCCTGTAGGTTTTAAAGTGGGTCATACTTGAATGTACGGATATTAAACATCCCGTCAAAATAATAACAGGAACTTGACTTCGTGGAAAAGTTATATTATTACCGCGAGTCCAGTCAATTGTCGCGTGTTCAAGAAAGTCTCCAAGCCATTCGTATGGTCGAAATCTGCTATTTATTGAAGGTAAGCAGTCAGTACAACCAAGAAATACTTATATAATTATAGGTACATATATGTTCTGTCCCACAAAAGTGATCGTATATAATAGCATAATAAATACGTCAATGCATTGAAGCCTGCTGTTATGTAAATATTATATCTGTGTTAGGTTTACATAGCGTAAATGTAATTGATTTGTGTGTTTCAATGGAAAATATAGCTAGCATGTCCATCACTTTATTATACTTGGCGAACAGCACTCGAGCCTTAACCGGCCCGGATGGCACTACTGACTAAGTAACTATAAGATTCGGAGAAACAACTTCGAAAGCTTTGTCAAGTATTAATACACGTAATGGTTGCTCTAGGATCATATCTGCAGTTTACGAACAAAACTACGAAATTTTCTCGTAACATATATTTTAGCGCTTATTCTGCTCATCTCGTGCGTTTTGCAATGCCAATGAAAAGTCTCATAGTAAATGCGGTGAAACTCGAAAGCTAGAGTGCCAGAATGCCTATATAAGTGTAACCTTTCCTCATATTCCGTTATCCCGGTTCCACAGACGAGCAATTTTTCTAAGACAAATTTTACAGATGGCAAGTTGTATTTGTCAATAGGGAGTTTAAGCTTCACGTGAATTTGAAAGGGTGTACATTTTTTTGATACACCCTGTGCATGTAGGTTTTAGAGAGTTCAAGATCCGCGATGATGCGGCCGTCACGCGCGGTTCATGCAAGACAAAAAGCATGATTAGTCTGTCAGATCCCAAGGGGGTATCATCAGCAGTGTTGTCATTCTGAATGCAAGTTAAGCTAAGCATTTCACGTCCCTGTTGCAACGCTAAAGCTTATTGCGATGTTAGATGCGTCACATAAAGTCTCCCTCATAACAAAAATCGTTTCTGATGAACTAGCTGTTTGTAACGCTATTTTAAAAATCTTCAAGCATTTACTGCAGTATAATCAAAGCACTTTGCGCTCATTCGTGCATGCGCTGAAATTGAGACGCGTCGTCGAGTTTGCCGCGTCATAGATCTTAAACCGTCTTTTATTATAGCTATTACAAGAATATATTGCTGACCAACTGCATCGGGAAGTGCTTGAATTACTTTGTTGACCCATACTTCAGAATAATATTTGTCAATTTTTTCTATGTCATGTGCACTTGTTTGTTTGCCAATTTTTATGACAAAACTTGTGATATGAAAAGTTGTGATAGAAAGCTAGCTTGCTCGTCCCTAATCTCAAAAATAGACTGGATAGCGAAACCCATGCATAGTTCAGACGCCACAACTGCAGAAAATCAGTCAGTTAGGCTACACAATCCGTCAATGTATAATGACTGTTTTCCGTTGGTTTTTAAAACTAGTGATGTCGCAGTTTCAAAAGGTTTCCATGTGCCTTCCGGAATTTCGTTATTGTTTTGTACTTTCCTCGTGACTGTCACAATTTGGACGCAATACTTCTTTGCGGAAAGTATACTCAGATTTGGCTAGAGAGCTTTGTTTCCGAGATTGAGATATCGGCTTTATAGCGCCTATAGCTAAGTACCGTATAAAAATTGCTCTCAACATTGTAGTTAAAACCAAAATATTTATATATTCTCAGGATTTTTTTAAGTCATGGCTGAAGTTACAGATGCATGTTCAGCGGTCGTAGAGACCGCATCGCAGTTAGTCAAAGGAGAGGCCATTCACGCCGCAGTTTCTTGCGATCCTGGTGGAAGCTATTCGTTTTTCATTAGCTGTGAAAAATCCGTGGTTCATGACCTCTGCATCACCGCAGTGTCGATGTGTGGCATTTATACAACCTATAAATTATTGGCACGAGCCATAGATGGCATTGTGAACAGAGGGCTTGGTGGCCCGAGAAAGGACCAAGGTATATATATAATACCAGATAACACTCATGGATTGCATAGTACCTTCATTTCATCGATTTCAACGACATTATGATGCCTTACGTGCATTTTATAGGTCTTTTTAACGTGAACTACCGCAACATTTCGGGAAAGCATATTGTTTACAGTTTGAAAACATCTTAAATTCTAATTCTAACGTCGATTGTATTTGTCCTTAATATCATGACCGTTAATACAGCCCGTTTTAAAATGGTAATGGTAATGGTTTATTAACACATTTAGTAGTAGTTACGCTAATTTACAATGTGTTTACAAATTTGGGTATAAAAAAGTATATATATATTATATATTTACATGTCATTCATTAAAATTAAAGTTTTACTAATCTATATCTATTTACAATATGTATAAAAACTGCTAATGCATACCTATTTGTACATTAACTGATAAAATTTTAAAAATGATGATCCTAATCAACTAATCTAGAATTATATAAGTATATACAGTAAACTAAAGGACTGTGTTTAAAACGTTCGGTTTTAGAGGGGAAATTATATAATTTCTGACTGTTAGTTCTTGTTTCTTTTTGCCTAATGTATTTTAGTTTCTTTGGTAAGAGGCTATGAAGTTTATGGTTTGGTTCCAGCATTTTTTTAATTGGAGATACACATAATTCGTCCCTACGTTCTTCCAAAGTTTGTAATTTTGTCTCAGTTATTGCTTGGTCGTAGTCTAGGTTTGGGTAAATTATTCTAAGTACTCGTTTTTGAATTCGTTCAATGCTCTTTTTCTGCTCTTGGGTTAGCCCTCCGTTCCAAATCTCCGCACCATATTCTAAAACAGGACGAATTACCGAACAGTAAAATGCTAACAAATCATCCATGGGGGCACCATAACTCTTCAAGATCTTTAATAAATACAGACGCTTGGCCGCTTTCTTTGTAATATATTCCGTATTAGTTTTCCATTTAAGATCGCAATCTAACCATATTCCCAGTAACTTATATGACTTCGTTCGAGAAACATTATGACCACCAACATATATTGGGGGTATAGGGGTTATATTTTTCCTAAAGTCAATAATCATCTCCATACACTTTTTATAGTTTAGTTCCATTCCTTCGTCCTTTGCAAACTGTACCACTTTGTCTACGTTCATTTGAGTATTACCGATTGGGATGCCATGCACCTAAATGATCACTGACATTGATTACTTCCGATAATGTTGTATCATCCATAAACATCGCTACGTCCTGGTCTTCTACGGCATT